CTGACCCAGCTGCTGCACAGGCAGGGTGGAAGGCTCAGGGATCGATACTGTCTGGGACCCAAGGCCACTTGCGCAAACCCAAAGAGGATTTGGTGTTTGGTGTTTGGTTTTGGGGGGTTTTTTTCTGTTGTTTTTTTTTTTTTCCTTTCTTTTTCCAACGCCTCGTTTCACTGTCTGTATTTATTGAACAAACAGCTTTCCTGGGGCCAGTGCTCAGCTCTCTAGGCCACAGCAGGCATGGGCACAAAGGGGCCAAGTGAAGCTCTTGGCTGGGGCTTGTGGTCCTACAGATGCTTCAACTCTGGGTAGCACAAGCCCAAGACCCTGAGTTGAGGCATCTGTAGGTGCCACAAGCCCTCGAGTGGGGCTGGGATGCCCCCAATTCCTCTTTTTGGCCCCACAGCACTCCTGCTAGGTGCTTCCTCCACTCCTTACAGGGCTCAGAGCAGAGCAGGGCTCTGCAGGGCATGGGTGCCCGACCTGAAATGGCTCCTTCTTGCTACCTGCTCCCCAACCCCCAGCTCTGCCCCTTGCTGGGCTGCACACACACTCTCTGGACAATGCAGGACACACAGCAGGCTCTGCCCGACAGCCCTGCAGGGACACTTCTGCTGCCCTCAGGCACAGGGTTGGGGGCATCTCCTGGTCCAAACCTCCCTGGACATATGAGATGTCATCACGTTGCCTTCTGTTGCCTGGGCTGTGGTAGCCAGCCCAAGCCCCACAGCGCAGCTGTGTCCCAAAGGAATGAAGGTTCTGCTGATTCAGGGTATCTGGGTTAGCAGCAGCTCCCCCAAGAGAGGTCTCGGTCTCAGAGGTCCCTCCCCTGTCCCTGGCAGTTTGAGATTAGAGCAGAACACGCTGTCCTAGGGGCTTGCCAACCACCTGAAAATGTGCCTTCTCTGGTGTCTTGAGGTCAGAGGTTGCCCAGATGAGCAGGGTCCTGGTCCTCCTCTCCATGCATGCAGCTTATCCCGCTCCCACGGGAAACAGGACACCGAGGTGCAGCCTACAGCCCCTTCCCCACTCACAGCACGGGGCAAGGATGACCAAGGTTCAGGAATCCCATGGTGGCACTCCCACCTGGGGAACACTACAGGGTTGAGGGTGCAGTGAACAAAAGGTGATGCCCTGGAGCCAGGCACAGCCCCATCCATGCCTGCTGTAAGACTGGCACAGGGGCCCATGGCAAACAGGGACCTCCAGCACACACAAAGAGCTGCTCAACCCCCAGAAGCTGGTGATCCAGGCAGGAGTTGTGCATTGATATCCCTGAGAAGATCCACACAGAAAAGTCACTATCTGGGCTTCACCACAGCCCTGGTTTATTTTGCAAGTCTTCTCCCTCATCAGTGAAAGTAACCTTGGTGTAAGCATGAAGGCAGAGTACAAAGTCAGGCTCTTCGGGGAGCAGAACAGAGACCTGAGAGCAGGAGGGTGCAACTCCCCTCTGGGCATCCACTCCTTCACCCGTGGGAAAAGAGAGGGGACGAGGGCAGCGTTGAGATTACGGTGTCCCCTCTCCCCATATTGTGGCACTGCGCTTCTGCTGGGGTCCCTTGTCCATTCAGGACTCTTTGGAGGGGCTTTGAAGGGCCTGTCTGAGGCAGGTACCCCCAGCTGCCATGAGATAACTGCTGCACTGGTCCCACTGGGACCAGTAAACCCGGTGGGAAACCCATCCCGCAGCTCCCCCAGCCCAGCCCAGCACAAGAGGTGCCAGGCAGACAGCATCGACCCAGCACCTGGGCTGTGCCAGATCCCACACAGAGGGGAACAGAGGGCTCAGCCCGGCTCGGCTCGGCTCTGGAG